GACGCATGTAAGCCTTTTGGTCCAGGTTGGTGGCACCAACCGGGACAAAAGGCCCCCCTGCCTGGGCAAGCGGCAGCGGCCAGGTGGAGCTCCATTTGTCCCGGTTCCTAGGCGAACCGGGACTAAAGGTATAGGGCTTTAGTACCGACCCTTTAGTCCCGGTTCGGGAACCAGGACAAATGGCCCTCACGAACCGGGACGAATGGCCCTTTTTCTACTAGTGTTTGAAGAAAAGTTTGTCCATTTTATTCACTTGATAGACCAAAAAAAAATGATGCTCATATCTGGAACAGAGCTGGGGCTAAATGCCTCCAGCCCCTTTTTGATTAGGGTCGTTGTTTAGTGGTTTGTGAGCATGTTCTGTGCTAGGCTTTTAATTTATGTTAGGGTTAAATGACATTCGAGGAGCCCTACACACACAAAAATCAGCTCCGAATAGTACATTTTTAAAAACTTTTTCATAGGCCCAAATTTTGTTATTTTTGCCCAGATCTTTCTGAATCTCCAAACATCACCAAATTTTGCATGCACATTGCATTCGCGAGCATCTTGGGTGTCTAAAAAAATCAGTTTTGTTTTAATAATTTTGCTATTTTTACCGATTTTATTGTTCACAAGCGAGAACATATGAGCCCGGCACCAAATCGTTGTTCTCGCTCTTCTTCCGCTTCTATTATATTCACATGCAGCTTTCCTTCATGGCTCAAAAATTTATTTTCGATTTTATAGAACCCATAAAAAGGAAAATTAAGAGATGAACATGGGGTGTATGGGAAAGTAGTTGCAACAAAAATTGCTCTATACATTCTCAAAGTGATACTACATTCCTGGATGTTGCATTAACGTTGATTAAAGTGGGTTTCAAGTTAATGCAGGGTAAGAGTGGTTGCATTAATTTAGTCATGCATCCGAAACAAAGAAACAAACCCAACAGCGTGGCATTTTGAGGTGCGAGACCAACGCAACGCCACACAAAAAGACACTTCTAAAGGAGCCCCAAGCCTCCAATCTAATCTATTCTTAGCTTCGATTTCAATGACAATTCCACACATAGCCACTCCCCTTTAAGTAGTCATATCACGCCAATGTTCCAAGTTGAGGGGCCACTTTCAGAAAAAAGTCCCTCCTCCTCCTCCTCCTAGTCCTACATCCCTCGACCATCTCGGTTCCCGGCGACGTCGGCCATGTCATACCAGACCCTTGAGCTAACGTTGATCTCGGCGAGCGATCTCAAGAAGGTCACATTCTTCTCCCGCATGCACATTTACGCCATTGCCTCCATCTCCGGTGGTGATTCCCGCATGCCTACCCATGGCATTGGCACCCAAGTCGACCACACCAATGGTCCAAACCCCACATGGAATGCCATGCTCCATTTGCCGATCCCTGCATGTGTTGATACGCGCGGGCTCGTCCTCCATGTGTCGCTACGCTCGGAGGCGCTCTTCTTCGGCCACCATGACGTTGGTGAAGTATTTGTGCCCCTTAATGATCTTTTGGCAGGCACAAATAACACTAATGACCCAAAGACCATGAGCTACCAAGTGCGGCGACCCATGTCTGGCCGTGCCCACGGTGTTCTCTACTTCAGCTACAAGTTCACCGGCATCAAAGCTGCTCCTGCAAGCGCTACAGAGAACAAACAAGGGCAGTACGTCAAATACTCTGGGGACTCTGGGGTGGCAATGCCCAGACCCATGGTGCCCGTCACCGCATACCCACAACCGCATGCCACATTTTCATACCCACCAAACGCAGTGTATCCACCACCGTACATGTATAATACTGCTCCAGCACCGGCAAAGATGTACTATGTGTATGCGCCAGCAACGACTATGGCTGCACCGGCAAGGCATGCGGGAGGGATTGGAATGGGCCTCGGCCTCGGGCTCCTCGGTGGCGCGGCCGGCGGGATGATGGCATGATGCTCGGTGACTTGGAGTCTGATGCCGTATAATTAAGGAGGATGTCCTTGTAAATCTCTAATGTGAATCGAAAATGAGTGAGCAAAGCGAAATCATCATAATGTGCAAGTCTCTTTGTTTCTTAATTACTTCAACTTGAAAGGATTGCAGTTAAGCCGATGGAACCACGCGAAAGTAGCCATAAATTTCTACGCCCTTCGTCCATAGTTATAAGACACCAACACATTTGAGGTTCAACCTTACACTCTCAACCTTATTACTTCAAAAAAAAAAAGTAAAACTCTGTTTGCCTCTAATTTGGAAGAGCAAAACAGGCATTTCGTTGGAACTCTCAAGGAATTCCTGCTTCCAACATTCCCTCGCTGATTTGCAGAGCAATTAGCACACAATTCGCACTGCACATCAGTTAGGCACGGAGATTGATTAAAACATTGGTCAGAGTGTATACTGATCATGGATGTTGATTAAGAAAGTTGCAAATTTTGTGCATGCAACTTCCACACTGCTTAAGTGTATTTATTATTCTTCTAGGCAAAAGCTGACGAAATCTGATCAAACTTGTCATAATCAACCAATACCTACTTTGATCTAGTCCCTCTACTTTTCATAAGTACAAGACTTGCTATGTACTAAATCAACACATTCAATATCTCCTTTGATCTAGTCGCTCTACTCATAAGTATAATAACTTGCTATGTACTGAATTAACACACTTTCCGCAAAAAGAGCAACTTCTTGTGGCTGGGTTGTCTACAGAAGTTAAAAATTCTCCTTGTGGAACTCGAATTTTGTGTTTGTCTTTCTCGAGAAATCTTGCGCAAGGTCACGCAGCTCCTTTGTTAGCACCGGTGCACCGCAGTAGAATACTCCTGTGATATCCAAGAATCATAGAGTAAATTCCAATTCAGAAAAGTAATGTTATGTGTGTGCATAACAGTGTTGATTGATCGATCATGTAATTCTTAGAGCAAGAAAAGAAAAATAACAGAGCCGGCTGCTGGCTATATCACATTGATATGTCATCTATAGTCAATCTAATAGCCCATCTCATTCTCTCACGAAGTTCCTCGAGACTCTGCTGCAGTGGTGCTGCAAATGCTATCTACAACCCATTTCTCTTCTCTCTCCTCTCCTCTCTCCTCACCCTCAACACAAATACGATATGGCTACTCCTATAGCCTTCTTACCTAACCCTATTATGTTTGCTGTTAAATCCTAGCGGTAAAGGTTGGCGTTAAGATCATGCCTTGCCTAATATGACCAAGTTAGGTAAGGGAGAATATTTGAGGATGACTTTTGGCGCCCAAGCTTGTCTACACCCTACATGAGCAGTAATTTTAAAAAAAAAAACTGATTTTCTTTTACATCGAAGATGCTCAAGTGCTACAAGCATGCAAAATTTTATGGACAATTTGAATTTACCGTACATCAGGGAGTAGATGAGCATGAGCTCATCGATGGATCATAAGAATCTTATGTGTATATCCAGACTTTAGACTGCTCAAAATTTCTTTAGTGGTTGCAGCCATCAGCAAGTAACAATGATCGGTTGGCACCTAACATGTGGCATACCTATCCGCTGCTCAATTTTGGATACCACTACCCAAATTTGGTTCTACAATGGAATGGTTTTATGTGCTCAGCATTTACTGTTGGGTGTAGCTATCAGCAAGCAACAGTAATTGGTTGGTTCAACCTTGGCTACTCCCTATCCATGCCAGTTCAAGTTGAACACATACACCTCCGATCATGACAAGGATCATGCATGTCCTTGTCAACCCGGGTTCGCTGTAGAAAGTTAGGCCATTGCTATACAGTTGAGGTTCAGTCTAGCACCAAGTCTGGCAGGAAGTTCCTCTCACAGCGACCCACGGGAGGAGAAGTCGTACAAGCTTAAACCAAATCGATATCGACTTTCACGGTCTCTCCGACCCAATTTTGACCATGCACGTGTCAAGAAACTACCGAGAAAGCATGAAACTTAACACGGTGTCCATGATATGCAACTTCCCGAGCATGCCAGTTATGCTACCAACAAATTGAGTATGCACATGTGAAACAAAGTGAGTTTGGTACTTACCGACACGCTGTTCACGGTGGTTGAGGGCGATACGCTTGTAGACATTGCGCCAGTTTGGTCGCGCAAAGTGGGTTTTGACACGGGTGCCGGAGACGATGTCGACGCCGTTCTTGGCATGGTTGAGGGACTGGAGCATGGCGATGAGCGCGGACCGGGCGTCCCCGTCCTCATAGACACTAGTGCAGTAGTTATGGAGCTCGATGACACTCTTCTTGTCTGACTCGGCTATCTCGTCCATGACGCCGCGGAACCACTCGAAGGAGCCTTGCTCCCGTGTCACCCAGTAGAAGTAGGCGCGCCGGGTCCGGAAGGACGCCGACGTGCTCGCGTCCCCGGGGTTGCCGGACTCAACGTCTCCTTCGAGCCGCTTCATGTTGTTGATGATGTCCTTGATGATGGAGATCATGGGCGTGGCCCCGATGCCCAGCCCCACCAGCAGCACAATGTCATACTGCTTGTAGTCCTGCGCCGGCGCGCCATACGGTCCGTCGATCAGCACCTTTGGGAAGCTGCAGCACAATCACATTTTGTAAGATTACATTAAGTCGCAGTAATTTAATTTATTAAGACTGATTGACATGATCAAGACACAAATCACATGGGGAAACACATTGATAGCAGGCAAATTAGTTTAAGCAGTGATTTAACAGCCGGAAGGGAGAATGTTCTTTCCCTTCACATGATTGTTCTTATTCTATCCTCGACCGATGGCGGGCGATCCTCCACTAAACAAGTGGATGTGTTTCCACCGGGAGGGCATTACCAGTCACTTTCCCCAAGATAATGTTGACATTGCCAGTCACTTCTCCACCCACCCGTCAGTTGCGCCTTATCCTAACCAAAACTGAATCAGGCATAATATGGCTGCTATGCACAACAATGACAAAGATCCTGCATCGATCTTGTAGATTCTAAAACTCCTACGCAGAGACTTTGTCATGTGAAACAACTGACTCCGGTCTCGAGTGTATGTGGATGTTTGACGTTCTACTAAGAAACAGTACAAGTACCATAGTTTTATTATTACTCCCTCCGTTCCTAAATGTAAGTCTTTGTAGAGATTCCACTAGGTGGACTACATACCGAGCAAAATGAATGAACCACACTTCAAATGCATCTATATACATCCGTATGTAGTTCATAGTGGAATCTCTACAAAGACTTATATTTAGGAACGGAGGGAGTACATGTTAGTCAGGTCCTTGGTTAGTCAGTGCAAAATTTCCTCCTCTGTTCAGAGTTCCTCTGACCGAATTTTTTTTAGAAAAAGGTAATGAAGAATAGGAAGTCAGAGGAGGCGGCTAACGAATATCGTCGCGTGCTAAAGATTACTCCTCCCTCCGTTGTATAATGCAGTGCGTACAGATTTCTTCCAGAAGTTTAATTTCATATATTTTGACTAGTATATTTCTTGGAACAATCCGTACGGAGGAGCACCGACGGAGTGATGCTTTGACACATGTGTGTGGAAGCGTTCGTGGCCATCCACCACCACCTACCGCCTGACTACTGACCAGAGAGGCATAGACCGGTTTGGGTCTTGCGACCCGACCCGACCCAGCAATGCGCGTCCCTTTCCGTTCTGTCCACACGCTAGGCCGGCCAGATTGGACCACGCCAAGGGACCGACCCACACCGCACCGCACATAGAACAAAAATTCCAGCCGGAAGCCGTTTCAACGGAACAGAAAAAACAAGGGGCCGTAGGACACACCTCGGGTTGGACATGGCGCCGACGTCGCGGTCGTACTCGGCCCGGAGCAGGCCGCTCTTGCCCTCCGTCGGCGGCCGGCAGACCTTGGAGAAGACGTTCTTGAGCTCCCGCGTCCAGTCGCCCAGCGTCCTGATGTGCACGCTCACGTAGTCGTCCTGCGGCGCCGACGTGATGGAGAACGGGTGCCTGCACGTCCATTATTATTATTTTTGTTAATTATTAAATGTTCGTACCTTCATCAGGTGGCCAATCAATTAAGCTTGATGATGGTCTAATCTAATGATTGGAGTTAGTGATAATTACCATTGGAACGGCGAGACGGCGGCGCAGTTGACGAAGATGTACTGCCCGCTCTTGTACCGGAACCCCTGCGGCTTGGAGAAGTGCAGCGACAGCACGTTGCCGGGGTACACCGCCACCTTGAGTATCTTCACCGGCCGCACGCTCGACCGCAGCGCCCGCGTCAGCCGCTCGCACGCGTACATCACCATCGGCACCGCCAGGTACATCCACGTCTGCACCAACATCACGTTCATTTTTACACGTGTCAGCTATCATCTTTACAGTTCAAGGTGGAGCACGGATGAGACTGGCCTAAAGATGGATGGATTGATTGATACGTACCGACTTCTTTTGCCACTTCTTGGTGAGGTAGAGGAAGTGCCCGTGGACGATGAGCAGCGCGTAGACGATGACGAAGAGGTGGTGCGAGTACCAGAAGGCGTTGAACCCGGTGAGCCGGTTGAGCGGCTTGGGGAGGCTGAGTCTCCCACGGCGGAACCACGGCATGGCGAGGGTGAAGGCGATGGCCATGAGCACCAGCATCACCAGCCCCGTCCACCCCTCCGTGCCCTTGACGAACCACCAGTAGTTGGGCGGCTGGTCCTCGCCGAAGAACGGCTTCATGGGCTCATACTCCTCCTCGGAGGCGCGCAGCAGGCGCGGGAAGTCGCACGTCAAATGGGAGATGATGTGCAGCCCGGCGCCGACCGAGATCCCCGCGGCGATCACCTTGTGGAAGTTGATGTTGTCGTCGAACGGCACGAACCGCCCCGCGGCGGTGCGGTTGCGGAACCACGTGATGGTGTTGCGGCACACGGGGAGCAGGATGAGCGCCATGTTGAACTTGAGCGTCTCGGCGCCGCCCTTGGCCACGCACACGCAGTAGCCCATCACCTTGAACACGGCACGCTCCCGGTACTGCAT